ATTTGTAAACAATTTTTTATGTCTCGTACAAATAAAGAGAAGCAGATTAATTCACATACCTTTTTCAAGTAGGTTTCACAATATCTTTCATTAGAATTTAATCTTTGGAATTGGGCATACTTTCATTTATTGACAATTTTCGTTCTTTCGGAGTTGATTTACACAAAATTAGCAGACAATATAATAAAAAGTAGAGACTTCGAGCTTTAATGTACTACAATGTATGTTAACAATGAAGTAATTCGGTTCATTATATACGAAATTATTAGCAATTGAATTTTAAGAATATTTCTCGTTAGAATACAATCTTTAAGGTGTGAATACACTAGGAAATAACTTGCGATATTTTTTGAGACAGCAATTTGTAGAAGTATCTACACTGGTCTGCAAATATTGATGCAACTCACTCTTTTAAATGTAGATTAACTTGGGCAGTAATTAGGGTACACTTTGACAAGTCAATCAAGAAACATTGATAAAAAACACAATGATTTATTCTGTACTCTTAACACAAAAATTAGTAAAATACAGGGTGTTCCGGAAAGATTGTTAGAGCCGAAAATGGCAGATAGGGAGGAGCATTGTGAACAACAATTTCCTTTGGCAAAATACAAAATGGGGCTTGGTTACCGAGTTATTAACGAAAAACACGGACCAATCAGAGCGCTCGGTTGAGGCGGTCTCCGTTTCGGGAGCGCTGGCTCGGAGTCAGGCGGCCGGCTTTTCTCGCGTTTGAACAAGCGCTCCGCTCAGTACGAAGCGTTTTAAGAAAATGACGAATAACAAACTACATGAACCAAGTATATGCTTAAACAAATAAAAATGCCAACAGTGAAAGAAGCACCAAGAGGTCATAGCGGTCTTCTTTATTACTGCCTAATTTAAATATTGAGTTAGGTTTGATTTGAAAGTCGATTTCCATCACAAAGGAAAAACGCCAACCATACATTTAAGTCATACATACACATTACACACAATACATGCATACATAGTGTCAGCATGATTCAACGCAATTTTTAATTTTATATACAGCGTATGAAATTGAAGACTATCGTTAATTGCAAATTGTTGTTTCCGTCAAATCGTTGAAAACTGAATTCGATCTTTTTATAAATTATCCATGGAAGCGCGTGGCTCACTTCAACGCTCAATCACCCCTTCCCCACAGCAAACTTAACCAATTAACTTCTAATTGAATAATAAATCTTTTTTTTAAATCAGGGGAATGTTTGATCGCTCGGAACGATTCCTTAGTCATGTCTCAAGTTTGTCCGTCGTCGTCACATCAGTTGGTTGCAGCTACGGTAGCTTTCCGTCGAGCTCGACGTAAATTCCCCAAAAATTATGGTTTGTGCTGTAACGTTGAAGAAACAACAAAATCTGAGAAAGTAATCATCTAATAGACGTTTTCTAATCTTCCTTGGTATTTTCATACTGTCATAAATTTAAGCATTACGATCAAAATATAAATATCTGTTCTTTGAACTACTATACTGTTGCAAAAGTATTACTGACATTGGGAACTTTCACTGATAATATTCTTAACATTACTTGGAATCAGACGGAAAGCGTTAGTGAAAATGAAGACCAAAACGAACAAGAGACTTCACAATTTTCATCGGGAAAATGTTCGAATGGAAGACCACATCGCGTTGTCGAAGCGAAGATACTTTGGAATGACGAGTGCGGGGAAAACGGTTCGATCAAGGAAAACTTCCTTCAGAAGCCAATAATCTGCAGTTGTTGTCGTAAACGCAATCAGTGTAGCGCCGGAGACACGCTCGACATCGTTCCCAGTAAAGAATACAATGGAATCGCGAAGAAAACCGAGGTTTCTAAATCGGATCAATTAGAAAAGTAGAGTAAACATTAATTTTTATACCCAAATCAATTTTCCTACTAGGGTAACTCTAGAGACAATTAATTATCCATTAACATTTTTTACACTTCTGCCTCGGACAATTTCTTCCTTTTTATAGTTGCGATACGAAAACAATGAGAAGTTTTGTAATGGAATCGGTAAATTTTGGTCGGGCCCGTAGTTCATGTTCACATCCACAAAGGCGAAGTCTGAAGGAGTCTTCGGTCAAACTAGGTTCCGTCAATCTTCTATATGACAGAGATCAGAACGAAGTGGACAATGTCAAAAGTACTGATTCGCCCGAGAGGCGAAGTAGGTAGAAATTGCTTTCTTAACTCGCCAAATTACTAGTATATGTTTGTGGAAATAATTTCTCCCGTTCAGAGTGTACCACGGAGAATCGTGACTCTAACACTGAAGGAAGGGTTTACAAGTCGATTAATCATAATTCCCGATGCACGTTCGCCATGCAGAAAGATAATTCGTCCAGTAATTCGCGTTCTTGCAATCACTGCGTAAAGCATTCTAATCTTGATTTGTTACGACCTCGCCAGGGTTGCCATCAGAGTCGGCACCGTTGCTGTCACTCTCACCATTGCCATCATTGTTGCGAGAATGAATGCGGGTTGATATACAATATATTTTGTTTTGAAATTAGGTTGCACTTCGTTTTAAAGCAAGTCCTATAGTTCTACTTGAAATTTTTTATAACAGTTGTTCATCGAAGGAAACGCGTCTCAACTCGGAGACCTGCCTCTGTGCCGCAAAAAATACCAACAATCATACAAGACGTTGTCGCCAGGAGCACGGCACACGTGATACAATTTGCAGCTGCAACTATTGCGCGAAAGATTCGGAGAAAATCTCGGCTATGCAAGAATTAAACGACGAGGAACTAGATGATTCCGTGGGTACGATCAATCACAAGGACTCCCTGTGCATTTTAGTCGAAAAGTACAAGGCTAATAAGAAATGCAAACACAAATCATACTTTGGCGAGGCCGAATTGGCAAACGAGCGCGTTAAAGACGAATGCAACAAATCGTTCACGTCGGAGACCACTTGTCAGATGGATGAGATCAACGTGACCGGAAAGCGGGGCGGAAAGTACTCGAACAACATTAATTGTCGCGCGTCGATGGGGAAAGCGTGTAGACACGAGTGCAGGCAAATCTTCAGAGAGGGTGAGCGCAACGATTTCAAGAATCTGAAGTCTCGTTTAATAAAGACCGGTACATGTTACTCCGCAAAAGGCACGCCTTGGAGACACACGTTTTAGATTCTCAAGAAAGTATCTGTCCCGTGCGTTTAGTTTTGTTCACACATTATTTGTGATTCACACGTTTGTTAGATATTCATTTTTTTTGTACAAGCTATTAATAATAGGTGTACAGGTAAATTTTTTATTGATTACTATGGTTACAATCTGGAAAGAAATTCCAATTTGACAAGAGGACAAAATCTTCGCGTGATTTCGTGTTCTATACAGGAGAATGCGTTGTATGTTTTACAAATTTTCATTAAACATAGATGCCATGTAAAGTTTTTCAACGGACTTTCATTCTAATTTTCAATTTCGCGTCCTTCGCTCGAAGAGGAATGAAGAACGAAAGAGAGGATGGTGCGAGCAGAAATTTAATTCCGACGTTCGTGTACTGCTCTAGAAGCTTATTTTTAAAAGTATATCACGCTAATAAAGTTAATAAACTTATTTTGGAAGTATATTGCTTTAATAAAGCGAATAAATGAGTGCATTTATATCATTCCGCGACATCGTCTGCTGTGGCACTGGCCTCTTGGGCATCATTTGGTCCCTTTTCCGTTTCTTTTGTCTCCTCCCCTACCTCATCCGCCACCTCTACCTCTTTTGTCTGCACCCCTTCCTGCTGCTTCTCCTCTTCCTGCGTTTTCTCTTCCGGCTCTTCTGCGGTCTCTTTTTGTTCTTCATCTGCTTCTTTCGTTTCTTCATCTTCTTTCTCCTCTTCCTTTTCCTCTAGTTTTTCCTCCTCCATCTTCTCTTTCGTTATACTCGCTATAAAAGATCACGTTGCGAGTAGATTTACGCGCTGCGTGTACGTGTACAGAAATGATCAATTTTTCCCAACCTTCATCACCTTCCTCTTCCAATTCCGACTGCAGTTCTGGGCTCGTCGCCAATTCCTCCGTCGTCGGTTCAACCTCCGACACCTGCAACTCTTCCGTGTCGTCCATCTCTTCCACTAAATCTTCCTCCGCGTATTCTTTCAGCTCTGGCTCTCTTGGACGATATTTAGGTTTAAGAGGTAGGGGCGGTGTTGTGGGTAAGGCTACTTCTTCCTCTATTTTCGATTAATAATATCAGCTCTAACGTTACTTTAGATTCTTAAGGTAGTAACGCAGACGTAAGAATTACCGTTCAGAATTGACTCAAACTTAACATATGTATAGATAAACTGTAATATAAAAGTGAATCAGTTAAATTTTTGTGTATCTAGGACACGTGAGAAAAAAATTATCAGCTTTTTCTTTCTCGAGCGTTTAACATTGAGTTTTATGGAAAAACTCGGTTTCCTCAAAATTATGAAAAAAACTACCATTCAGATTTTAATGAAACTTTGCATGATCTGAGCATCAGATTACTTTACAAGGTAAGGAACATTTTGAATGTTTAAGAACAATGCGGCAGTGCCTATGAGCTGAGTAATTCATTGATTTATATAAAACACATACAAGATTCAGATGATGTGGCAACGTCGCGCATCGTTTGAATTCTATTGTATGGAAGTATATGTAGGATATAAAAACTAATTTATGATATTGAAATAAAGAATAATTTATTTGGTTAGGATTTGATTTGAGGATAATTTCAACTCAAGCATAAAGCCGCCCTACAAACGTCTGTTATAGTCCGCGACGTTGCCACATCTAAACACTAAACTAGTCAAACGCGGGAATTCGCTAGTTTGACTAGACGAGTTTCTGCGTTACTACCTTAAGCAAAATTGTCACTCACTCTCTTCCTCGTACTCTTCTTCTTCATCAAATTCACCGGGTTCGAAGACATCTAATGTGTTATCAGTGCATAATTACGTAAAATACCTAATCGTGTTCTGTTAATTCTATGTCATACCTTCCTTAATTATTCGCGACCTTCTCATACGTTCTTTGAAAGCCATTTGCAGCTTTGTACTTGTGGCCATCAGTTCCTCTCGAGTACCGTATTCTGGGATTTCTCCGTGTAACGTCACCGACTCAAAAATTCTTTGATGCAACTTGTCAATAATAGCTTCGGTCACCAATGACTTCGTTGATTCTAGCTTTTGCACGTCATAGCAACGCTTCCTCGTACGATATTTCCTATAGGCTTTCTGCCAATCGAAGAAAACTTAACTGCCTTAATTATTATAGTATCAAATAGTTCTTGCTACGAAGTACATATACTGAAGATGAGTAACTGAAAAGAGCATTAATTTTGTTTGTTAATGTTACTTGAATAATTGTAGCAGCCTCGTTGGCCTTTTCCATCGTCAATCCCGAGTCTTCGTACATCATTTCCATCCAAGCGACCGCTTGAATGGCCTCTTCTGGTTCCAATATGCGTTCATCCTTCTTAAGGAACTCGTCCTCTGCGCCAGCTGAAAAGTTTTCAAAAATATCTAAACATGTATCTGAAATTCACGTAATTACAATCTTACGAGCGTCGATCCTTAGATTCCTTCTGATGTAGTATCCACGATAGGCAAACTACACGAAAGGGTAATTAAACGTCTGTTGTTGAAACGTTGAATTCGAGCCAGAAATCATTACTTTAACGTGTTTAGCGGCTTTGGAGATTTCCGCCTGCGTGGCACCGGCCTTCCTTAGGATGTCAAGCGTGTTCACAACCGCTCTTTGCCATTGTACCTTCCCCTGGGCTTCGTTCAGTGCCATCCTCTCGTAGTGTCCACGGAACGCAGCCTAATTATAATTATCTATGTATATTAATTATGCTACGCTTAAGTTAGGAGAGTTGATAGTTGTAATTTCTGACTTGTATCACTGTGGCAGCGCGTTCTGCGTCCTCACGCGTCGCGCCCGTAGCTTCGAGGATAGTTCTTATCGATGTCATGGATTTTTCATCGCAAGTAGGGTCTACACTTGAAGCAGTTTACACAGAAATAATAAAATTAAGATTTGTCATTTTACGTTATACACTCCCCTCGTATTTCTCCGAATAATCAAAGACACAAATACGCCGCTGCATTTCAGTAAAACATTTTTACAATCTCTCAGGCTTATTACGTACTCAACGTAACCACCTCGTATAAAGTATACACGATTTTATCGAACCCAGTTATCAAGTCGTTTCTTAGTTTCTGACTTTAATGCATGCTTCCGCTGGCATTAATCAGTTTCATCAAGGTTTGTTCCCCGTAGGAACGAGCAGTTCTGTCTTGCGAATCGTTGAAACTTTCATCAGTATGAACCGTGATTACCAACCAGCAGCAGCATATCTTTATTCCCTTAGTATTTTACAACTTCACCCTCGAACGAGCTCCCCTTAAAGAGGTCTGCTTAAAAACGTTACGTTTACCAGTTCTCTTTTTACGATTCATTCGCCGTTTCCTTACCTTCGCATACTTGTACCGGTTGCATGTCCACTGCATCCAAATACTCGCGGAATGCTTTCTACCAAAAGGAAGAATAAAAGAATAGAAGAAATAAAAGAGATAATATAAAATAGTGTAAATAAATAATATAAACAGAATGTAATTAGATAAATAGCCGGTAAGTGATAATTAATTTTACTTGAATTTTTGGAGCCGCGACGGTAATCTGCTCTAAAGTGAAACCGGATCGATAAAGTAACGATAGGATGGCCTGACTGCCCAGTAGAATGTTGTTCACGACTTGAACCGCAACTAGAATCGTAATTGTTTAGTGTGATTACTTGTGTCGAAATAGAAAAGACTAAAGACAAAGCTTCTCGACGAAAAACTTTTTGAAGCACGATCCTCGGAGAAGAGAGAAATGTACTTTTCGTGTTTTCGCGCGTGATTAGAAGCGTATCGACATATTCGGAGATAAAGAAGATCAGGTTAGCAGGTTGTGACCGGAGAACCTGTTTCCAATTACAAAATCAATTATTAATTGTTCACTGAATTAATAAGAATAACGAAATTGAAAGAATTTTAATTATTAGACAATAATATTTAGTTTGATACATATTTCGAATTTTAAAATGACTTTTGAAGAATAGATGTTGTTTCCTCTTTTAAAGAAGAGGTAATGAAACATTATATTAATAAACTTAGAAGTTATATTGATGCGTGAGTCAATTCATTTAATGCTAAACATGATTTCGACACAACTCCTTAAGGGATCTACCCAGTGTGAAATTAAAAAAAATCGAATATTTTTTTGCATTTTTCGAAAGTTTATACCTTCAAAAATATCATACAAAAATTTCAAGCTTTGATTTCAACTAGTTTCCGAGTGGCAGCCTTCTACTAGTATTAATATAAGTAATAATGTAATAGTTAATACTTTAAACACGTTTTTTTCGAAATGGTATTTTTCAAATTTGCTGGCGCTATGACTTAATGACCAATTATCCGATTAACTTGAAATTTTAACAGAGTGTTCTAGACATGCTTTATTATTGAATGATATAGGATATTATTGATTGGATGAAAACTGTAATTTTGGCAACAAAAACACGACAAATTTTTTTAGGAAAAATCGAAAAATTTCTTAAGAACTCCGCCATTTTGTCAGATTTCAACATTTTTCGGATATCCTAGATCATACAACGGAGAATACGTTCTTTGTCTTTTCTATAGCGAACTGTACGGTGTCAGCATTCGAGGTACTTTTTTTTGGCGTCTCGGGAGATAGCGCATAACTTGGTCGCCTTCAGTTATTTTTATATGAGAAAATTATTTTATACAGTTCATTTATAGGTAAATACATCCATGAAGTTTAAAAAAATTCCGTAGAATATTTTTCTTAAAAAAAATTCCCAAAAATGAGCTAAAGTTTAGGCGGTCACACTGGGAAGGCCCCTTAACTTGATTGCCTTAATTTGCAATAGATTCTTAAATTGCAATGGTACATCTCTTTCATTATCAAGAGTTAAATGTGAAAACATATTTATAATAATACTTACTTCACGCGAAATGTCAGTGCATAATTCTCGCAGTCCTTCCGGTACTTTATATATGTGTTTAGCCTCGTGCTTTTGAAGTATCACATTCATTTTCGAAGTTTGCTCACCGTCTAAACGTGAGAGACAAATAAAGAGAGATTTTGCTTTAAAAAATTAATTTCCTATCGGCTACGATGGTTTAGATATTGCACCCGATTTTTCATGCAGTCGCGCGAGGCGAAATGTAATTCTCATTTGTTTTAGGGGGCGTATGGTGACCATGTTCAATTCATACTTTAATTAAATATCCGGTGAGATTGAAACGTCAAGCTGTCCATATTCACTAGGTTCAGTTTAGGATGTGTATACCCATGACACCTAGAACTAAAATATCATTCGTATTTCACGCTGATGCATGTTCTGCTATCCACCATATTGTGTTTCGTCTCTCAAATTCACAAATAATTCAATTATTTTCAACAAGTCGTTAGCGTGATCCATGAATAGTTCCGAAGCTTGTTCATTTTTACAGTGTTCTTCCAATAATTTATTTTTTTTATATGAAACTGAAATTTTTCACTCGACAAGCAACACAGAACCGTACTTTTATTCGATAATACAATCTGGTATTTGTACACGGTATTAAAAAATGTTATGACTATTGAGGATTCATTCTATCGATAGTAATCAAATAATATGAAATTTTGACCTTGTTGATGTTAGTTATGAACACGGTAAAATTTTCAGTGAAATCTGTTAATGCTATTGCGAGCTACAGAAGTTTACAACTCGGGTTAAGATCTCGAAGATTGCTGATTTTGAACGTGTGCTATTTTCGACCTTACTCCGTAACTTTGACTCTGCAACTCGTAATCAAGTTAACTAATTTCAATAAAACCTTTATCGTATTACAAATCGTGATAAAAAAAAGTTGGAGGAAGCGACTTTTACTTTTTTGTTCACGACTTCAAACTTCCAGTTGTAACCTTGTTAACATTTAACATTTTATACATCCTGTAGTAATTGACCCTCTAATTTCACAAAAAGATATCAAATCGTACGTATAAGTTTTGAAAGCAGTTGTTTTGATTTAAAGGGTGTTTGAATACTTTCTACACCCACTGTACGTAAAGCAAGGGCTGTAGCATTGGTAGCCGACACGGTTCCGTTCAAAACGCAATTGTGCCGGCAGGTGTAAGTCAGAATGCTGTTTCCTGAGAACTTTATGCCGGGTACGCGATGGTTCGAGAAAGGTTTACCGCAACCAACCGGTTCGTAACTTTCAGGTTCGAGATGGTTCGGGAAGGACGCAACCGGGTTCATTTTCCGGATTTTCCAGCGTTGTCTGACGACGAATAATTAACGGTGTCGTAATTAAACCGGTGCAAATAAGAGAATAATTGAATTCTTTACAATTGTAGTTACTATCTTACCTGTCCTTCTTGAATTTAGCCGACGGTTTTCCCAGTTCAATAAAATTAAAAATTTCGTACCTGCATATACATATAAATACGCATGGCGAGCTTTCATACCGATACTGTTTTTCCACGTCTAAACCTCTTATCAAAGAGAATTATCTTAACTCAGATACAGTCGTCGCTGAAATCATGACAATCGAATTTGTCGTCGCGTCTCGCTGTTCTTAGTACACGTTCGTTGCGCCGTTTCTACAACGGAGTTTATATTTTTCCAGCTTTCGAGTTGATAACAAAAGTTGATTACGTGTTTGAAGACATCACGACGGTACCTCCGTGTGCATTTACTCCTTCGTTCTCTCAACGAAGTAAAAATGAAACGAAACAAGTGTGAGAATTCCTTACACATACAATAAGTGCCTGTTTTTCGATTTAAAGTTGTGCTTCTGCAATCACGTGAAGAATTGAACGATTTTCTAAAGAATTGATGTACGAAACATTTTTCCTCTGAATATACGCCTGAGGTGAAACTGAAAAACTCCGTGTAACTTGCCAAAAACCAATTCCGTAGTTATTTATCTTTACGAACTTGGAGTAGCCCTCGTGCCTAAGTAATCAGTAATTTTTCCTTAGTAATTCGGGTTACTCTAGAAATAACGGAGATATTCAAGGTAGATATACATAGTTAGTGCCCCCCCCCCCCTCGTATATAAAGCGTACCACAAATACGAATTAAATGAATTCTTTGTTTATTAATTTCAATATCGATGTCTGATTGGTAATTTCCTTCTTCTTAACGTAGGAGCAATAAAACATTTCATATAGGTAATAAACTGTTTTCTGATAATTCTTCGTTCAAATATCAATTAATTTCAAATTCGTGGGACATGCTGGTCCATTTTGGTGAAATTAATATTTGAACAGAGCTTGTATAATTTCTCGGGATTTGCGGAATTATCTGATTAATTATTACATTTTATTCTCTGATATATTATTCGGAATAATATTATTCATTCGATTCTCATTAAATATTGTACCAATCGAGCTTTCCTGTACGTACTACTCCTGTTTAATTAAATACCGTCAATAGTTTGAATAGTATATTAATTGTAATTGTAAAATACGTAGGTAGAATAATAACAGAATATTCGATAAACTGCGGGTCCAATATTTCGAATAAGTGAAATAGACACATGAGTTTGAAATACGAAATATACTTTTAACTCAGAATTTCTTTATAAAATAACATTGGAATTATTTGTTGACCATTAAAACAAAACTGGTATTCTTCTATTACTTATTCAAGCACTTATATAGATATACTCACAAATTGATTGGTTGCAAGTTTCACGTATTGATTGTTTGTCTAAGATATCATTTCAACGAAAACGTATTCTACCTAGAGGAGTGTAAGGGTGAATACCTCAAGCTCTTATCAAGGAAACGAAACGTCTTCCACCGATCACATTAAACCGGGTACGACTTTGTCTTGCAAATCGTCCTACAAATTGCCCGTGACGAATGACCCAGCCTATCGTACAGTCACTTGTCCGGAAGACGGATTACAAGCCCCCTTTCTCTTCCGCTGTAAGTACTCTAGGTAATGATGATTTTCAGCATCATGTTACGTATTCTAACGTACAGTTCTAACAACCAAGACAAAGATCAGTTTGAATATTCAATCTTGATGTAGGCGTTAAAAAATTGCAAGATATACAAAGATATATATATATATTGTTTGTTCATTAAACCTGCAATGTTTAATGAACAAACATCTTAATATAAGAAAAATTAACCAGCATTGTATTTGAGCGCTACATAACTTCTGTCATACCTTGTGAAACTGTACATACATAGAATACTCAATTTCTCAGGATGAAAGATATTAAGGCAAAGTCAAAGTCAAATTTTCGTTGACATTTACAACAAAATGAGAAACAAGTAGCAGCGAATTGGTACCGGTACACTCGTCGTTACAAGCTACAATCTACTGTCGAATAATTACTATGGATGGAATTTAATTCTTGCTTCGGAATCACGGGAACTCGGGACCCGGGCTGTTGCGTTTCACAAATTGTTCGCTGCTTCTGTTCTTCTATTTCTACGTCACCTCGATAAGGCGAATGTTTCAAGGAAGTGATTTCAAGAAACAGCAAAGGAATTTAACCCCTTTCCGACTACACCGGTTTTCATTATAACGGAACGGTTGCTCGTTAAAATTCATTTTTTAACCTTTATTAGCCGTTTTCGCTCGATGTTAATGGAACGTAACTTCTTATTACTCCGGAACGGTTCGAGCTTATTGTTTAAAGTTTAACAATTGTTCGAGTCGTTCAACGGCGAACTTTATCGCTGATCGTTTCCTTCGAAATTATTTCCATTGACTTATAAATACGATATTCAATTAGGAACTTTCCTACTCTATCGAATTATTCCTTATTTTCTTGTTACTACACACGTAGGAATATCTCCAACATTTAAAAACTTCTCCTATTTGAGTCAATTGTATCTGCACGGACTGGTTCAACTTGCGCCAGCAAACTAGTTTAAAACGGAAAAGGCGTTGGGTTAATCAAATGGCAATGTCCAAAGTAATAGAAGATGCATGAAAAATTTCGCTCCGCAATCCAAGAAGAGGCCTGATTCATCGTTACTCCAATACTTCAAGACGATGTCGCGTTGCTAAGAACAAATTAATTATTAGGACAGAACGTCGCGGCGTGCGAATTAATTACGGAAATATAATCCGGCGTGACTTAATTAGTGAACTGAAACCATTCGCGCACGGACGGGAAGGGAAGTAAAAAGACCGGAAGTTCGTCGGGAAAGAAGAATCGCGACGGCCGGTGAAATTAATCAAAGTATGTATGTACATATGTATTTATTATTTCCTCTACGAGGTTACATAGACTCCGGTTGTTTCTTGTTTATATCTCTACTTTATTACGACTTTTCTATTCTTAAATTAATCCTACATCGAACGGGATTGTTTGTAATGTATTTGCGATTATATTTACTTATTTTCTTTCCCGCATCAATAGATTCCATAAATATTACACAATTGCAACGTGCAACGATGCTATATATATATCATAAGTATAAAAATTCTGTTTGATTTACAACGAAGTATATTGGCTCGCGGTTGGAACGGTTTAGCTGGTTTGCTATGTATACGCATCATTGATATTGGCTTTATCCGCAACGCGGTGTACGAGAATCTAAATTAGCAACGACTTGTTATTTATATCGCGACTTCGTTATTTATGGTTGCAACGCAAACTTTTTTGCCTGGCCCCACTACGGAATGTGTCGTATTTCCCGTAGGAATTTCCCGAACGGTGCCCAGATTCCGGATTATCTACAGCGATGTTCTCCGCACCGTAATCCGTGCCGACTTTTGTTTTACGATCTCGTCGAGTCCCATTCCGGCCCGGGGATAAATTCAATTGCGAAATGTGTTCGCCGTTCGTATATTCTCTAATCAGTTCACCTTGGAGAACGGTTTGTCTCCAGGACGAGAAATGAGCAGTAATTGTTTTTAAAGCGTAACTACAAATGAAAGAAGTATCTTTAAATCATTCATGCAAATACATATACACGTCCTTAAAATATTGCCCACTAGTAGGTTTACACCCTGTATACATATATATTATACAGGGTGTCCCAGAACTAGTGTTAGGCCTTGAAATGGGGTGGAGCCATGGTGATTTTAAACAACTTTTTCCTTTGCAAAAAAGTTGTCCGAGGCGTGGTAGTCGAGTTATTAACAAAAACTCTCGACGAATCAGAGCGCGAGTATACAAGGCGGGCAGGAGCGAGGTAACCGCCTCGTGCGTTGTCGCGCCCGTACGTCGCGCTCGTGACGGGAGCACAAGATGAAAGAAATGTTACATGCAAAAATGAA